AGTTGCGTTGAGCAGCTAAACCTCGAGCTGGCCCATTAATGACAATTTCATTAATCTGACCAGAAGTATTCCCCTTGTTGTTGTTATTGTTGTTCTTATTTATCTTTTTTTGAGGAGTGGTTATGGATTTGTTCTCGGGTCTAGTTCTGAGAGGTGTTCCTCTGACCATTTCGTGGCATGCCACCCGCTCAATCATGGAGTCAAATGTGTAGGGGATAAGGCATTGGCTAAAGAAGGTCCTATATTCGAGAGCAGCACTTTCTAAGGCTATGGAGATCTTACCCGGGTCTGTGAGTGGACATTCAATTACCCCCATTTCCACCTCGCAGAATCGATTGAGGAAGTCCTCAAATGATTCTCTTGGATATTTTTTTGTTGCGCTGAGTTCGCCTAGGGAGAGAGGCCTTGGTTTCGATCCACTATAGTGAGAGACGAATAGATTGAGCATTTCATCTTGAGTGATGTGCAGTTGAGTACACATCATTCTTCTATGCCAGTTCAAAGCCTCGTCGGACAATGTTTTTTTGAAAATATGGCCTTCAGTTGATTTGGCATTTCTCGCAAAGCTCGAACGAAGAGGAGGTATACATTAACATGGGTATCTAGATCGCTTTTCCCATTGAACTTGTTTCAGATTTTTGGGATGATGAATCCGAAGGGAAGGTCCTCCATGCCTCCGAGGGTCTCATGAACATAGGCCTTCAGCGGTAAAACTTCTTGAATGTCTATTCTTATAAGCATGTCTTGCATTGCTTTCATGGTACCTTCATATTGGGCATTCGGCATGATGGTAGGCCCACCAGTTGGTGGGTTCCCAAGTGTAGACTGATGAGTCAAGACTAGGGCTATGTATTGGCCAGTATGGAGTCACCGGGGCAGTTTGGTATAACTGAGCCTGAGGGGCGTATTGTCCCATTGGTGTTACCATAGGCTACGGAAATTGCACGGTCTATTGGACCGGATGGACTACTGGGACCTATAGAAGAATTGGTTGACTCAGTTGTCCTATGGATTGTCCTATAGCACTAAGTTGGTTTGGGACCGACACATATGCAGGGGCGTAACCAGTGTAACCTCGATCAACTAAACTTTGAAGGGCAGCTTAGACACCTACATCACCTAGGGGTCGATTCAAATCGATACCTCTGTTTCACATGACATTCAAGTTATCATGAGCTGTGCTATGGTAGCTTGAGGCCGGATCAGATCCCCTAGGCTTAAGTGGGTCTTGGTTTCGAGACCGGCATGCCTCAGGGTTATCTTGATTCGAGTTATGGGAATGAGCATTTGACACCGCATGAATTTCTTCCCTCTTTCGACTCCTACTTTGGTTACCTTAGAGCCCTTGCAGGAGGACCCCAAGTCAAACCCTTTGTCTATTGAAAGTCTTTTGAGCGGAGCTAGCTTTTCGGGCCACACAGATCTCAGGATTAGGAGCTGATCCTTGAAACTCTGCTTCTAATTGAAGACTTGGGTGCCAAAAAATGGATGGACCCAGGTTCTGGCTATAATCTCATGGGATTGTGGCATACTGGACTCTAGGTTTTGGATGATTAGGTTTAGAGTCGCCTATAGAATAATCATCGTTGTCCCCTTGGGTAACCGACATGGTAACTCTCTTTTACCCAGTTCATGAATCTATAGTTACGGTGAGATCTAGACCAGAAGGCTTAGGATAGAACCTAGTCTGGTTCTAGGGGCAACTAAGACCTAAGCTAGGACTAGACTGGATGAATCTCGCTAGACTCAATGGGTTTTGGTTTAGACCCCTAACTAAGATAAGCCTAGCCAAGCTCTAGAGGCAACTCTATACTAAGAGTTAGGCTAAGACCTAGACTGAGATCTAAAGTAGATGGGTACGAGTCTTGGCTCGGACTTAGAGGGAGTCTAGGTCTGAACTTAGGTGTGAACTTGGTTTGGACCTAGACTGAGCTGAGTACAAGCCTGAGCTTGAACCTAGAGGGTTCTGAATATCAGACCGGGTGTTGACCCGAACTAGATCAAGGTTTGGTTAGGTATGTACCTTGGTTCGGACCAAAAGGGAGCCTAGGTTCGGACCTAGCTCTGAACTTGGTTCGGACCTGGGATAGGTTGGGCACAGGCCTGGACTTTTCAAATTTAGACAGAGTGTGGACCCGGACTAAGGTCAAGGTGAGATTTAGCGAGAGCCATGGCTAAAACCAAAAAAGGGCCTAGACCAAGCAGAAGACATAACGTGACTGCTCGACACAAATCGTGTCAAGCGATGTGTGCTTCGAGGTGGAACTCGCTCGATAGCACAGTAAAGATGGAGGGGTAAGCAACCCCTGAGAAGGTGTTCAGTCAAAACCATGAAACCAAGCAAGTCCATGCCTAGTCGAGTGCGCCCCGAGTCGAGGGTGACTCGATCAAAGCACAATTAGATAGAGAGTGCAGGTGACTCTGGATTTTTTTTTTTTTTTTTTTTACCCTTGTTTTTTTCTTTAATGAAAAGAGAAAGAAGTAGCAACTACCAAATTACAAGCAAAAAAGTGAAAGAGATTTTTTTTTGAAAAATTTGTTTTGTTTTTATCCTTTTTTGCTTTTGGAAAGGGGGTAAAGTGATTTTTTTTTTTTTAAGTGAAGATTCTTTTTTTTAGAAAATGAAATGCTTTTTAAAAAAAAATTATTGTAGCAAAAGTGATTTTTTTTTTTTAAAACAAAATTAGATTTAAGATTTGTTTTTTTTTTTTTTTCTTGCAAATAAAATTTTCTTTTTTTTTTAAAGAAATGAGAAAGGCCTTATTTTTTATTTTTTTTTTGAAAGCAAGATTTCCTTTAAAATATTTTTTTATAGTTAAGATCACAATACCATTAATATGAAAACGATTAAAGGGGAAGAGACCAAATAATATTTTGAACGTGAATACCAAGACGGCTAGCCAGGAAAATCAAAAGTATTATCCACATAAGGAATTGTTATTGTTATTGTTATTGTTATTGCTATTGCTATTGCTATTGCTATTATTATTATTATTATTACTTTTATTACTCTTATTATCATTATTATCATTATTATCATTATTATCATTATTATTATTATTATTATTATTATTATTATTATTATTATTATTATTATTATTATTATTGTTATTTTACAAGATAACTTTTAGTTAGGGAATGGGAATTTGAATGGTGCAAATAGAGCTATCTAACAGTAACAGCAGTATCTATCCATGTTAATAGAGAGGAGGTGAGAGATCCTAAATTACGGGCAAAAGAATAATAAACAAACGACCCATCAAGAGAATATTAAAGTTGGAAAACATGTAGAAAAGATGGGTATGGAAGATATCCATGAAAAAGATAAGAATAGATAGAGATCAAAGAAGAGATCCCGGGCAGTGAGGATTTGAAAGCACGCATTTGGATAACCATTCCAGCCAGCAATAACCCGCAACCACCATCGTGCCCAAACTCTTTCTGGAGGCCCGGCGTTTCACTTTTTTTTTTTTTGGCAAACAAAAAGATATTTAAATGATGCCAACAACAATAATAAAGCAAAAGAAATGTTTTTTTTTGATCAAAACATGGCCCTAGAAAGGAGATTAGATTGTTTGTTTTGTGCACTGATCTAGCTTGAAATGCCCCACGGTGGGTGCCAAATTGTTTACGATGTAAATCAAAGAGTTCTCCAGATAAAGATCCTTCAGATTGGAACACCAAAAAACTAATGTTTTTTAAAAGAGTGTGATAGAGAATGGGACAATCAAATTCTGATCCAAGGCCAGATCTCTTAAAAAACAAATAGATCCGCTCTCATATCGGCAACAGAGCCAGCATCGATCCAAAATCACTAAATACAATATAAAATGCATTAAAATAGATTTAATAAATAAATATAGAAAAAAATGCAGAAAAAGTAAAACAATACCAGACCGGGCCAGTTGGCCCGAAACTCCCGAGGATTCGAAACCTCGCCCGTATCAGGACCGACTGAGTTTCGCTTGTATCAAGACCGACTAAGTTTATGCCCTGCAAGTGGCTTAATAATAGGATTTTCCTAGGTCTAGGTTTTTCAGGTTTCACAATCTCTCAGTTTTCTCTGGGCTTTCTCTCTCTCTAACTTCCTAGCCTCCCACATCCCCCCTCTTTCTACCACGCCTCACCTCTCTAAGATGCACTCAATTTTTTATTTTTAATTTTTAAAAAAAAAAAACCTAATACGGATGTAGAATGGATAACTACTAAAAAGTACAAGATTTGCTAGGTGTGGATCATAGGAAGAGGACCATGGATTATGGTAGTCTATTGTTTAGGGGTCTACTAAAATAGTTTGGTCCTATGGGTTCAGTAAAACCATGGAATTTGTCAATTTTAAAATAGGGTATCTACAACTATTTAATCATGAGATATGATTTTCTTACCGTACATAGAAAGTTCAATTCAATTTCGTTTTTTTGGTATTTTCTTTTGTTGTTTGCAGACAAGACAAAAACTTTGTATTTTTTTGTTTTTTTTTTGTTTTTGTTAAAGATGGCTTACTAAAATGTATTATAAAATATCATAAAACAATGGTTATACACATAAAATAAAGGAAAAGTTTATATAAGGTTGCAACCATATATGTAGAACTACAGATGCACCTCAAAAATCCATCAAAAAACGTAGTTTTAATGTTGAAAAACCCTTTGATTGATCATCTCGACATCGAGATGTATGACCATGAAAAATAAAAAGATTTTATATCTCAAAAATAGTGCATTTTACAACATATTATCTATACCGTCCATTTTCAAGATTTTCATATGCTAATAGATCTACTTTATTTTAACCATTTTTGAAATTTAAAATTTTATAGTTAGATATAAAAATAGATTTTGAGATAATCCTAAGAACATTTTACATTAAAATTATATACCATGATAAAATTTGAAAGTGCACCTTACCTCTACAGCTACGGATGCATCCGTATGCTAACTGCACCCTAAAATAAAAGAAGGAAGAAAGAGAGTTCAGAAAATAAAAACGATGAACTTCTTCTCAATCCCCTTCTCTTTTCTCGGACCCTTACTTCAAATCTCTTGTGCGAACTTCTAGTTTTGTCGTTTCAGAAGATGGTACTTTCGACGATCCTAACAAGGGCGGTTTTGTGGCCAGTCTCTCTCCCATATCGTAATTTAATGGGCCTCATTTTCTACCAGTCCCCCTTTCGACAAGTTTACACCTGAAATTGTTTAGTAAGAAACGTCTAGTGCCCACTGTGGGGCTCGTTAAGCTTCTGATACTACAAAACTACTGAAGTGCCCCTCCAAACATTGTCCCGAAGCGTCACCAATAGGAGGAAGCTCGCACTCTGTTGTTTTCAGGTCTTTTCTAAGAAATCCACTTGGCCACTGCAGTTCCAATAGTTGCCGGAAAACTGTGGCTGGGACTGTCAAGTCCGCTCGAAATTGTCGATTGAAGCCAAGTACTCATCGGGGTGGATGAGCAATGGCCGAGGAAGACCCATGGAGGTTCGAGGGTTGTCATATCGGATTTGGTTTACAGAGGAACGAGGTATGCCAGAAACCCATCTTTTCGATTCATCAAGTTCCCTAAAAATCCTCATATTTGTCACTTTATTTCAGTTTTTCTTCACAGATCTAAGCGTTTTGGGTCCTCACGAATCTTTTGGGTCCAAAAGTCACAATTTTTATTAGAAATTTTATAGGTTTTGGGTTGTGGGGTTGGCCAAATTTTCAAATTCCTGTGGGTTTTAAAAAGTTTTGAAACCGGTGTTTTGGTAATAGTGACCATTCATTTGGTCGGGATTCAGATTTCTACTGCCCTTTGGGTAGTTTTATGACCATTCTGAGCCAGAAAAAAGGCTCATGTCCTCAGCCTCAGTTTTCTAGCGAACCCGTGCTGGTCGCCCATCGAAATGCCACCAGCGGCATCGGGGACTGGCGAGGGGGTTTCCATCACCTCTTTGGACGGCGATGGGATCTGTTGGGGCCGTCAGTTCATGGGTCGGATGTTTTGGCATCCCGAGTCAACCCTTCATTGGCCGTAGACTGGGGTAGGGTTTTAATTATATAATTTCGGATCTTTTGAAGATGGCCCCCTTTCTTTTCGTACATTTTTATCTTGTAATGATTTGGTTAATGTGTTTGACCGATCTAATCCTGAAATTTGCACTTGGGTTTGATCTATAAATTTTGGGGTCTTTTATGTACTTTGGGCTTACAACCATAGTTATTGTGGCCCCCCTGCTCTGGAATCTCGCTCCAATATTCTGGTGGCGGGATCTCGTTCGAAACCAGTTTCTAAATTTTTGGGATCTCGCTCCAATTTTTTTGATTCTCGATCCCATTCACTTGGGAGCTCGCTCCCTCTAAATCAGGAATCGCGCTCCCATTTACAACGGAGCTCGCTTTATCTACTTCATGGATCTCGATCCCAAGCATAATGGACCTCGCTCCTTATAAAACACGGATCACGTTCCCATTCGTAACGGATCACGATCCCATTTGCAACAGATCTCGATCCCATTTTCTCACAGAACACGTTTCGTAACATTGTAGATGTGGTTCCCGAACAAATTAAATACCCACTCCAATAATTTTAAGATCGTGATCCCGATGTTCTCGGATCTAGGTCTTAATTGCAACACGTCCATGGGCATTTACCTATAGTAATTACACCAGAAAGAAAAGGCTTAATTTATTGTAGGGTGTGGTTCCTACTTTCTAAACGGTTTAAATTTAAAACTGTCGTTTCACCACAATGGCTTACGATGCTTATAGATGGCAAATAATATGTATAAACCATGCCAATAGAGAGAGAGAGAGAGAAAGAGAGAGAGAGGAGGGGGGGGACATGCTTGGAGAGAGAGAACCTAATTTGGATTTTTTGAAGGATGGAATAGATTATTTTTAGACCAAATAGATTTTTCACTCATGAGTATTTCATGAATATTAATGCACCTCTAATTATAAAATATTATATTCATGTCTTGCATAGTGGTAAGAAACGAAATAATTTTGTGATCCCAAAGGAGTTCAATGCTTTTTCTCATGTACAAGGGAAAACCCATATCTCATTTTTATATTGGAAAATATAAAATTAAGTTTTTATTTAATTAGATATGAAGTGAAAAGAAATTAATAATAGGTGTTATATTGAAGACAATGTTATATAATATAATCGTGCGGTTCCACGATTTTTCTTAAAGGTGGCATGTAGTTTTGGAAGGAAAGTACTAAATAGATTTTTTAACTGATGAGTATTTCATGCATATTAATGCTCATCTATTATTAAAATATTATATTTATGTCTGGAATAGTAAAATATTATATTAATGCTTTCCATACCACGTATATACTTCCACTTATCCGACCGTCGAATATGTATGGAGGGCTAAGATTGACCCAAAATGTTATATAATCTCATCATCTCTCACACCCTCCATCGCTCAAATCCTTTGCACAAGGAGGACCCCACCCCATCCGAATACCCATTCTTTATCATTCCCTAACTCTCTCTCATATTCTCATAATTTCATTTCACCTCTCTCTCATATTCTCATTTCCACCTCTCTCTCTCAAGTCTCAACAGTGAACTGACAGAGACAAAGACAAGCCAAGAGTCCAGGTCCAGCACAACAACACAAACCTCATTCACCACCACAACCGCAAGGTATTTTCCTTGGCTCTTTGTTTGTTATTTTTCTATACAGTATTACTGCTCCAACTCACAGTCACTTCTTCCTGTTCCAGTCCTCTAATGGAGACCTGAGCTTTCGATTTTCATCTATGGAGCATAAGCCCTTAGCTTTAGGGTTTATAGTTATGCCTTGTACTTTATAGTTATACTTTATAGTGTTCCTTTCTTGGTGAGCTCAAAGCCTCCGACAATTTAATCATATGCAAAATATGGTTTTATAAACTTTTTGCAATTTCTTGCAAGAGTAGTAGACTCAGTAGGCATAATTCCACGATCTTGTTCTTGTGATCTCAAAACAAGCCCTATTCCTATATCCTGTTGCTCAATCTTTTGCTTTGCATAAATGTTTTGTAAACTCTTTTTTGTAATGTAAAGTTGTAAACTCAGTAGTTTAAGTATAACAATACATTATTCTGCAATCTTATTACTATTGTTCAATACTTCAATTCCTTGCAAAGCTTTTTTTCCCCTTTTTTAGCAGTTTCCTCAATCCTGATATACTTTTTCTGCTATTTCTCTCTATAGATTTGTGCATTTCATGAAAAATGTCTTCTAAAATCGTGTGTTGTTTCAGGGATTAGTGAAATATTAGGTATTTGTTACAGGGCTTTGTGTGTTTTGTACTCTTTCTTTTTCTGTCGTTCGATCTCTCTCTCTCTCT